ATTACATGGCAATATCTAAATTTCTCTGCTGAAAGGTGTACCTATATACCTCACACATGAAATCATAGTTAATACAAGGAAGCATCTGCTACTTCAAGCACTGTTCTACAAGAATACATTTTGAGGCTTACCATGAAACCTCCAAGGCTACCCAAGTACTTAGCTGAGTAACAATGCAGAGAGTGCTATCCAAAGTGTAACAATCAGCCAAAATAGTACATTGGCTCTGTTTTCTGTCACATTCCTATTCCTTTAGATTAGAAACATCTTTTTTTTAAAGAAAATTTTATTGATTTTCTAGTTTTACATTTAAATATTTAAAAAGCAACGTGGCGGTCAATAACATACAAGTATTTTTAGTACAGGTCTCAAACTACTACATTAAATATTTCCTCTCTTTTCCCCTTAGTATTTACTGTCTCATATTTAAACTAATATAATTCTTATTATATCGATTAAATTAAAATAACTTTCTTACATTTATCAATAATTTTTAGTTTATACATATCCTAGTTATTTTAACATTCAATCTTTATAGACAATCAATGTCCTAATTAGTCTTTCCCAATTTTTAGTTTCCCATTAGTATTTAAATTTAACATTTAATATTTATAATTCCCAAATTTTAAATAACCACAATTCCCTTTATCACAATTCATCACAAAATCTAATGTTCAGGATACATGTCTTATCTATCTGAATATACTCTATTTCTCACCATCTTACATCAACTAATTAATAATATAGTATAACATTCTTATTTTCTTTTAATTTCCAAATATCTTAAATTTAGTAACCAAACTTTCTCTTATTTCAACATTTAATACTTCCTCTCTTTTTCTCTTGATGTCTATTTCATAGTAGACATCAGCTAATAGCTTTTATTATCAGCTAAGTAAAAACATATTTATTACATTCATCAACAGATTTTTAGCTTATATATATATATTAATTACTTTACATTCAACCTTTATAAGCAAATCAAAATTTAAATTTAACTGTTAATATTTATACTTCCAAGTTTTAAATGACCAAAATTTTCTTTATCTCAGCTCATAACGAAATCTAGTATTCAAAATACACATTGTATCTATTTGAGTATATTCTATTTTAATTCTCACTGATAAGTCAAAACCCCAATTTTCTTCAGTCTTATGCTAGCGTTCTTTCTTTGCCAAGTCGTCTTCCATGTCTGTGCTTTTAAGTCATCAAATAAATCTCCCTGTATTGTTATGTATATTGTTTGAAGTAGAAAAAGCCATCCGGTCACCATTTTTTTTTGAAAGGACTAACAAATTGTCTCTCTATTTTTCCATCTCGACGTGGTTGTCCTGAAATGTTTATCTTCCCTTCAGTCTGTTCTTCTTGATCCTCAGGTTTCTTCTGGTTTGTATAGAAAGTCTTTTCCTTTTTCCATGTTGTCAGTCCATACTCAAGGCATGATAATATCTGCTAATGCTATTAATTACAATTGATAGCATTAGCAATAGCAATGCTATTAATAGCATTAGCTATTAATTAGCATTGCTATTGCTAATGCTATTAATAGTAATTAACTATTACTTATTAACATTCCTGTAATTTTGAGGCCATGTTTGAAGAGTTTGTTTAGATCACATTAGGACTGAGTTCTAAACTTAACATGGGTAAATTATATATTTTTTTAATATTTCCCACAGGTGTTTGACATTTCATTACAGTTCTAAGTTAGCATGGCTGTGAGTAGCAAATCACAACTTATTGAGTGGGCCTTTGTTAAGTCTGAGCATTTCTCTCCTGAAGACATCTGGGATTTGATGGGCAGTGTTGTCCACCTCATAGATCCCAAGGAATGCTGATGTTAAGTACACAGGCATCTCCCAAAATAGACACCTTTTTAGATTATTACCTCAGAGCATATTTTGGCCACACCAGAAAGAGTTAATTTTTTGCTACCTTTCTTAAAGTAAGACCAGTATTTGTTCTTTTTTTTCCTATTCAAAGGTTGAAAAAGAGAAACAATCTTTGCAATAAGTATTGGGAGAACAAGGATATATGCACATGTGCAATTTAATTCTTCATGAATTCTTGTCACAGCACAAAGGAATGTAGAAGAAAAATTTTCTTGTACAAAAAATACCATATGGGAATATAATAAAGATCAGTATAACCTTGACAACCAAATCAATTAACTTTTTTAAAGAATACAGTATGTCTATTGTATGGCCTGAAAAAAAAAACCCAAAATTTTTACACACTCAAGACATATATAGGCAAACATGCCAGTTTTGTATCTTACCCTCATTCAAGGTTTCCACAAACCTAATTTTTTCCATCCTGTTTAGGAATGAATACTTGAATGTGTTCAGTTTTTATTCTTTATTCTATTTATATAGCTGCACATCTTATTTTTATATGAATCTAGGCAGCTTCTTTGCCTTCCTTCTTCTTAGTAATCTATCTGTAGTCTTTTTTTTTTAAAAAAAACGCTCTTTGTACTTCAATTTCTCATAATACATTAATGGTACTCAAAATGTTTGTTCTTTTTATGTTGTTTCTGATTTTAAACCGAAGATTTCCCTCTTCAGTTACTACATGAATGGCTCCTACCTCCTTTTTAAACTGTAAGCTGCTTAAAGACTTTTTATGATCCCTGACCTTGGGCCATGCTTACTGGGTTTGATGGGCTAGTCATCTTGGAGTCCCCTAAATATATATTATTCTTTTTTTTCCCCTTTCACTTAACTACTATGATTAATTTCCCTAACTTTCATCTAGTGGCATCTACCCGTAGTTTTCACTCTTTTTGAGGCAGTACATTTAAGATTTTTTCAATACTTTCCTAGCAATCCTGAAGTATTATAAAGCAATGTGCCTCTATTGAAGTGATTCATTATAAAAACATATGGTGAGAAAAAGGAGAAAAGCCTTTTGTAGCGATGCATTTGTTGCTCCACCAGTGTGAGAATTAATAATGGTCTGAATTGTTGAACAGGATGATGTGGGTGTGCCCAGATAGCAAGCTCCTCTGTTGTCAAACTATAGGTAGGTTATTACACTCTGACCATCCATCTGAACCATAAAAACCCATCAGTGTAGTTCTCCAGTCAGATTAAAACAAAATCATAGAATCGCCACAACAAAATAGCAAGTCAGTCAGTCCAGATTATAAAAAAGAAAAAAAAATTACAGCTATATCACATTAGCATCGTCAAACAGGATCACTGCAGCAAGAAGTATCAATAACAAGAAGACTTTCTTGACCAGACTGTTGAGTGAAGCATACATCAACATACCAGCATACATGCCAAAACAAAAAAGTAAGGTTCTACATTTAGGCAAAAAAACCCAAATGTACAGGTATAGTATAGGGTGTACCTTGCTCAATAGTAGTAACTGTGAGAGGGATCTCAGAGTCCTAGTGGACAATCACTTAAATATGAACCAGCAGTGTACTGCAGCTGCCATAAAAGCCAACTCAGTGCTGGGCTGCGTTAACAGAGGGATAGAATCACGTGAAGTATTAATACCACTTTACAATGCCTTGGTAAGGCCACACTTGGAATACTGCATCCAGTTTTGGTCACTACAATATAAAAAAGATGCTGAGACTCTAGAAAGAGTACAGAGAAGAGCAACAAAGATGATTAGGGGACTGGAGGCTAAAACATATGAGGAACGGTTGCTGGAATTGAGTATGTCTAGTTTAATGAAGAGAAGGACGAGGGGGGACATGATAGCAGTGTTCCAATATCTTAGGGGCTGCCACAAAGAAGAGGGAGTCAAGCTATTTTCTAAGGCGCCTGAAGGCAGGACAAGAAGCAACGGATGGAAACTAATCAAGGAAAGAGGCAACCTGGAACTAAGGAGAAACTTCCTGACAGTTAGAATAATTAACCAGTGGAACAACCTGCCTCCAGAAGTGGTGAATGCTCCAACACTGGAAGTTTTTAAGAGACTGGACAGCCATTTGTCTGAAATGGTATAGGGTTTCCTGCCTGAGCAGGGGGTTGGACGAGTAGAGAGTAAAATCCATAATATGTAACTTCCTTTGTTTTATCATAATGTTTATGATTCCTTTCCTGTTATTTTGTCTGTCTGCTTCTCCTAAACAGGCAAAAATTAAGGTATGTTTAACAGCTTATAGTTACAGTTTAAGCAAAAATTTAAAAATGTAAATTCATCAACAATGTATAAACATTTTCTAAATAGATACTTTCCAATTTTATACACTAACATGCTCTTGAAAGCAAACCAAATTATAAACCTATCAATTTATAAACTAACCATGTGACTCTATCTCTATAAAGACTGTTAAAAACAAACTATTAGACACATACTTTATTCCACCCTACCTCACTTCCACCACTCAATATTTCTTGGTGGAATACAAATTTAACTAAATAATAATAATTAGAGGAGGAGGAGTCAAATGCATCATCAGTCATGAATCCCTTTGTGCCCAACAAAAGATCTAAGTTCAGCCCTTCTTGATTTCTATTGACTCTTATCTACTGCCAATTTGTCTTGACTGTTAGCAGTTCAGATTCTTGTTTAGATGTAGAATGGAATAAACTCGTACTCATTTGAACAATCCTGGTTCTTGATTTCTTGCACCTGACAATAATTAAAAAAAAAATAAAAAAATTACAAAAACACTATGACTTGCAGGTCCAATTTCAATGTTTATGAAAAAAAAACTGTTGTTATACCTAGTATCAACCTGATATTTTACAAAAAAACAAAAAACCAACAACTAAACATTCTGCCTAGTATTATTCTTAAGAGATTATTGTCAGGCACAAGAAATCAGGAAGCAAGGTGGTTCAAAGGAATCCAGGTTTATTGCATGCTAACACTCTAAACAAAAATCTAAACTACTAATGGTCAAAGCAAACTGGCAGTAAATGAGTCATTAGAATTCAAGGTGGGCTGGACTTAGATCTCTTGTGGGCCTGAAGGATTCAAGACTGATGACATCCTTGACTTAATTTTTCTTCCACACTAAAAATAAGCTCAAATTAGTTGAAAAGTAAGCCTTTAATGAAAACAGAGAAATTATTATTTTTCTTCAGCAAGATTTCCAATTGAGCAGTCATATCTGAGGCATCAATTGCAACTTGAAGCATCGTCCCATTAAATCCAGTGCCTAAGAGAAATCAGAGATGCACCATAGGTCTGGAGTGCAGGATGTGTTCCTTTGAAGGCCATCAGAAGTGAACCTGCCTCAGCAACAAAGCCTTTTTCCTGCAACTGTTTTGCTATTTTTATCACATTCCAGCGTCCTTCCTCTTGATTGGTGATCATATAGTTAACAAGGTGAGAATAATAAACTGTGGGAATGCATTTCACTACTAATTTCTCATCGAGGAGCAAAGAAAGAAATTCAGAGTCACAGTTGGTGTCATCAACCTGGACAAAAAAAGAAGCATAAGCTAACATTATTTTTGAAAAAAATGAATATAGAGTTGTATATTTTATTCACAGATGGAATGATAAGCCACTCAATTTCCCTACTTTTCTTTCACCATCACTGCCTTTCCTCTGCTGGGTAAGAATCCATCCTATATACTGAAAGTGTTGTGACAGATGTAGCCTACTTTAGACAACTGGATAAAAGTTGCTAATTAGATAAATATGCCTTACTTTGTTCCCCAATAGGAAGCATGGATGGTAGAGCCATTTGGAATTTTAAGTTTGAGGTGTTTTCTATCATTTATAAAGTGCACAAAATGGTTGTGTGGGGATACATACAGCACAAGCGGTTGTACAGAATCTGTCAGTGGAAAGGAAAGCAGGTAAAAATGAATAACCACTTTACTTCTCCCTCCTCATTTGAATGGAAGCCTTGATTGTGGCTCCTTCTACTAAGGAAAAGTTTTGAACTAATGCTCTGAATGTTATCTGAGCAACTTTCCCTGATATCCACTAGCTATTATGCTGATGAGAAAATATGCAAGCTTCCCTGCTTAATGTTTTGAATTAATACAAACCACAATTTCATATGATTGCACACAACTTCCGAGATACATGCATATTTACTAGATAGCAAGTATTGTTCCTTATGTGCACTTCGCTTCAGGAATAACATCTTTTCATTCTGATTTTGAGCTGTTATACTAGCAGAATGGCTCATTAAGTTGAATCCCACAATCAACTCTTCACCTTTAGATTACATTGGTAAAACTAACTCCCAACTGATACAGAGGCTTTGAGAACAAGAACAGCAGGCTTGAGTGATTTCCAAATTGCAGATCGTATTAAAAACAAGATGGCCATGTTCCAATATAAGCAATTTATATACTTCATTTAAAAGCACTTTCGCAGAAAGTTAAGCTGTTTTAATAGCACAAAAAACCTTCAAGTTTCAAATCCAGATTTTTTTTTGTAAAAAACCTAATAAATAGGCAGTTGCATTACTCTAAGTGCTATATACAAATTGCCTGTTTCACAAAAGCAATTCTAGAACATTAAATTCTAAGTATATAAGTGCACTGAATAAGACAAATGATATTTGGCCAGTTTGTTTATGGTGTTTTGAGAAATAAAAAGACAATGAATTGTTGTTCCTCAACATGTTGATACTTGTGAAGTATAACAGATGCCACAAAAAAAAAAAAAAAAAAAAAATGCCACAGCAACCAAAATATCCTGCACCCTCCATAGCTGAAAAAAAAAGAAAATTTCAGTTGTACAAAATGGACAAAGGAAAAGGACAAAGGGTTAAACCATAGATTTGATTACAAAATTGAGTTTTAAAGCAATCAATGTGTAAAAATGGAAGAGATGGATTTCACAGCTTGCATTATGCTATAAAAACTCCTCAGTGGGCAGAGTAGATATCGCAAGATATTGTCTCTTGATGCTTGTGGGTGTGTAATTATCCGACAACTGATTTATTCAGAACAAAAACAAAATACAATGAAAACAAAGGTTATGATGTAAGACCAGTTTGGAGAAAATATGCAATCTCTTATCTCCTTCCCAAATTGGAGTTACAGGTGGCAGTTAGTAGCCCACAACAAAACACAAATCAAGTATTTCATTTTACCTTGAGCACGTTATTGACTCATTTCATCTCCCATCTGTTAACACCCAAAAGTGGATTAGGAGATTTAATGGAAGGCAAAGAAGACGGCATACACAATCTCATTACTTGCTCTAAACCCCAATTTATATCTGAAGGAAACCACCTATGATTTGGAGAAGGAAGCAAAGTGCTGGCAATATTTAATTATGACTATTTTGTTGCAAAAAAACCCCAAGCTGCTTCTACTTTTAATTGTGCTACTGTTTTCCTTTATTTTCCCCATATACATTTAAAGGATGTAAGAATTAATCCTCTGCTACACTAATTTTATTTCCATTAAAACATAATGTTAAGTGAAGGGCAAAAATTCCCAATTTTGTGCCATAAAGTTAGTAAAATTCTGTTGCTGACATTTATTTGAAGAAAACTTTCTCTAATAGGTTTTTTATATATGGGTGAATTTCCAAACCTATCATATTCTCTGAATACCTTCTGGCTTTGCTGTTTGGCAAAGTGGCTGGCCACTTGTTAATTTCTGCACTCCCCCCCCCCATCAACACCTCTTTCTTTCAGCTCACAGAGAGTAGTCAATTGCCAAAGCTCAACAACAGTTTCTCCTTTCACTGTATGCAACTGCAAACTTTTCCACCTTTCTCTGCCTACGACAAGAAGACTTTGAAAATGCTCACTAATTGGCAAATAATAATTAAGCTTCGCTTCATTCAACTTAAAAAAAACCTCTTACTCTAAATAATAAACCCCTTAGAAACCCTCAGCTGATACTATTTCAGAATTAATCAGGAATCATTAATTCAATTATTATTCTTTTGCTCTGGTCTTGTCTGTTTGGAATATAGTCTCTGCTAACCTGCAAATAAACGTATGAAACAAAAGTATCATGTATAAATGTTTATTGGCAGGGAAAGGGTAGGAAGACTCTCCAGAACAGGCTTAGTGTGAGTGTAGTGTTTAGGACTCTTTGAAATATCAGTAGGGTGGAAGAAGCCATTACAATTTGGGGGGGGGGGACTTCATTTCACAGGGCAAATGCTGCTATAGAGAGGGCAAACTTCCAGCATATATGCAAGTGGCTTGTTTAATTGATGGAGCAGGCCAACTCTGCTAGGACATGGGTGGGGAATCTTGGCTCTTTTATGACTTGCGGACTTCAACTCCCAGAATCCTGAGCCAGCCATGGCTGGGAGTTGAAGTCCACAAGTCATAAAAGAGCCAAGATTCCCCACTCCTTTTGCTAGGTCAAACCAGCTGGGCATGCTGACTGTGGAATTCTGGAAGCTATAGTTCACACTTCTTAGTTGCCAAGTTTGAAAAACTTTCTCTTTTGTTGAATATTCTTTTTGGATGGTTGTTTTTAACTTCAAGGTGAGCTTCCCCCCCCAAGTAAATAGGGTCCTCTAAAATGGCAAGGGAAGCTAACAAACTGCTTCCTATGTGTTTAATATATTTCAAATGCTAAATTAATACTCTGATTATGTCTAACACAAATAATGTCAGCTGCTGCTATTGTTTTTTAGGATTTTAAAGGCTGATGCTCAGATTTCTCCCATCTCAGTAGTCCAACAAATCCAGAGGCAGGAGAGGGGTTGCTCACTAAGGTGGAGCAAAAAGACAGACTTCTACCTTTAGGTCTTTTAGATAACAGATTTAAATGCATGAGATTTTAAAATCACAGCAGTGAAAACCAGAAGGTACAGGAGAGCCATGAAAAGTGAGTGAGTAGCATTGAGAGCGTGCAGACAAATCAAAACTTTTTTTAAAAAATCTATTTGCTTTGTCTAATTAATGAAGAAAAATTTCTGCTTTTGCAAAGGTGACCCCAGGCTTAAGCAGAGAGAAATGGAAGCAGATGCAGACCAAGAACAGGAGAGATACAACTGCCAATGACTTTAGCTCAATAGGAAACTGCTGGCTGGAATTATAGCATAAGGCAGTGATGGCGAACCTTTTAGAGACCGAGTGCCCAAACCCATTTATGTATCGTAAAGTGCCAGGGCCACATCAGCATTATAGTGCCCTCAGGGGGGTGGGGGTGGGCATGGCCCATGGGTGGGCGTGGCTGCGGTTGTCACGGCAGACTGAGTGGGCATGGCCGGGATGGGCGTGACCACCTTGAGTTTGCTTGTGGGGGGGCACGCCTGTCGGGGCTGGGCAGGATTGGGGGAGATCCAGGGGGTCTTTAGTAGGTGGGGCGGTGGGCAGGAGGCTCGTCCTGTGGGGTGAGGCAAGGGGTAGGGCAGGGGTGCCATTGCTGCGGGGCAAGACAATGCAGGGGCGGCTGCTGCCTGACACCATCAGCCCCCCTGCAGACAGAGGCCAGAAAGCGCATGGGGGGGCGTGCTCTACTGCCTCTACTTGAGCTTGCTAGCCAGCTGCTTCACCTCCTTTGTGCTGGGTGGGGCTGATGCTCCGGGTGCCAGTGGTAGCCCAATGGACCTGTGCAAGCTGGCGGTGGCGGCAGGTGTGCCCACAGAGAGGACTCTGAGTGCCACCTCTGGCACGCGTGCCATAGGTTTGCCATCCTGGCATAAGGCATACATTTACATAGAACGCCACTGGGAAAGAAAAATACTTGGGATATTTTAGATGTGTATTAATTTAACCAATTTAATGTTAAAATATCCACAGGACAGTAACTGTTTCTGAAATGTGAACACAAAGCTTGAGCCAAACCATTGTAGAAAAATAAAACAAATCCCTAAAGAAGAAAACAGATTGCTTTTGGATCATAACTCAAGGGAAAGAAAAGTTAAATACAGGAACTGTGCAATTGCTACTTGAGCATATTAGCATGCAACAAACGTATCAAATGCATGAAAAAACTAAACCCATTTTCATTTTCTGCAGCATTCTCCTTTAACAATTTACTTGAAAAAACAACCAAACTTACCAAACAATATTTAGAACTCTGGCAATTAATAGGTAGTACTGTATAAACAGCCCACAAAGAACAATGCTAGATTAAGACAAAAGATTTCTTACACAAAATTTACAGAAAGCGTAAATATAGTTATGAACATCAGAGAGAACAATTAAGAATAAGCCAGCCTCCCTCCCCCTTTTATAGCAAGCTTTGCCCTTCTTGTATCCATCAATATGAGCATTAGGTTGCTGCTTCTCATTTCTTTTTCATCACTAGCAGCCCTCTTGCAGGAGAGGATTGCTCTTGCTGTTCAATTTATGGTAATCAGATTTTTTCTCTTTTAAAAATACAAGATAAGGAATGAAAATTAGTTTAGCTACATATGTTTTTTATGCTAAAGACATGATAGAAAATATCTGAAAGCTAGTTAAAATAGGTGTGAGTAACATGCAGAATCTGGGAATTGTTGACTAACACTCACATAGCAGGATAGGCTGTTTCTGACTATTTAATCAACTAATGGGCCCAGGATGCTACCGCAGCTATGTAGAGGCACTGATGAAGTACACAGTGTCAGTTGAGATAATAATGCATTCTTAAATCAGTGAAGATTTCAGTTTAACAAATCCAACAAATACAGGAGTTTGAATCGCGTATACAATGCAAAAACAGGTAAAATTAATATGTGAATAATATGCGGTAGTATTCTGGGCCCATTACTTGATTAAATAGACAGAAACAGCCTATCCTGCTATGTGAGTGCTAGTCAACAATTCCCAGATTCTGCATGTTACTCACACCTTTTTTTTCAGATATTTTCTATCATGTCTTTAGCAATGTATGTATGTATGTATGTATGTATGTATGTATGTATGTATGTTTTCTGAGGTTTTCGCGGGTGTTTGTATGTAGGTCTTTGGTTATTCGGGTTTTCTCCCGCGTCAAACTGGAAGTGTCTTGGCGACGTTTCGACGAAGTCTCATTCGTCATCTTTAGGCTGGTGTTTTCAGCTTCTAGGCTTGCTCCTAGAAGCACGAAGCTGAAAACACCAGCCTAAAGATGACGAATAAGACTTCGTCAAAATGTCGCCAAGACACTTCCAGTTTGACACGGGAGAAAATCCGAATAACCAAAGACCTACATACATACATACATAAATACATACATACATACATACATACATATATATGATAGCATTAAAAATATGAACCCTGGGTATATTCATGTTTAAAATAAGATGAGCACGAGGGTAGTTTAAACTATAAAAAGTTTAATTAAAAAATGCCAAGCTTTCGCCATCACCTGCCGGCATCATCAGGGCTTAAAACGCTAGGAAGTGAGGAAGTCCCTTTATAAGCAAGCTAAGGTCTGCGCCCGGCTCTTCGATCTTGTCAATTGGCAATCCACCCAATTAGGTCCGATGACAAGATCGAAGAGCCGGGCGCAGACTCTAGCTTGCTTATAAAGGGACTTCCTCACTTTCTAGCATTTTAAGCCCTGATGATGCCGGCAGGTAACGGCGAAAGCTTGGCGTTTTTTAATTAAACTTTTTATAGTTTTAACTACCCTGGTGCTCATCTTATTTTAAACATATATATATCAAAGTTTGACATGTGTTTTTTTCTAAAAAATATTTTTTAAAATAAAATATTTTTCTTTGACAACAGCACTTTTGGCTAAGGTCCCTGGTGATGAGCTGAGGCTTACCAGTTCACATGCTAAATGTGCAATTTGGAAGCTAGAAATTAAATATTATTAATCTTCAACACTACCTAGAATTATAAACAAAATTCAAAACTCAAAACTAAACAAATCTTAGCAGAACTTTTGTTTGAGACAAGATCCATTCACACTATTTATTTATTTAATTTTATTTATATGCCGCCCAATCCCAAAGGACTCAGGGCGGCGTACAAAATTAAAATAATCATCTAACAATAAAACAATAAAATAATACAATCATACCGCGAGTCCGATCATATCCCGCCCCCCCCCCCGGGGACATCAGCCTCAGGCCTGCCGGAACAGGAGAGTTTTAACGGCTTTCTTAAAGGCTGGCAGGGTGGGAGTTGTTCGAACCTCGGGGGGAAGTTGATTCCACCAGGTCGGAGCCACCACAGAAAAGGCCCTTCCCCGAGGGCCCGCCAGCCGATATTGTCTGGCCGACGGGACCTGAAGGAGGCCCAATCTATGGGACCTCACCGGTCTTTGGGAACTGTGCAGCAGTATGCGGTCCTGTAAGTAACCTGGCCCTATGCCATGAAGGGCTTTAAAGATGATAACCAACACCTTGAATTGCGTCCGGAGACCCACAGGAAGCCAGTGCAGCTCGCGGAGGATAGGTGACATGTGGGCGTACCTTGGCGCACCCACAATCGCTCTGCATTCTGAACCAACTGCAGCCTCCGAACGCTCTTCAAGGGTAGCCCCATGTAGAGCGCATTACAGTAATCCAGTCTTGAGGTGACAAGGGCATGAGTGACCGTGAGTAAAGCCTCCTGGTCCAAATAAGGCCGCAACTGGTGCACCAGGCGAACCTGGGCAAAGGTCCCCCTGGCCACAACCAATAGATGTTGTTCCAAATTTAGCTGTGAGTCCAGGAGGACACCCAAGTTGCGTGCCTGCACTGAGGGAGGTAAATTTGCCCCCCCCCAGGACTAATGATGGACCATCCAGTTGACCTTTGGGAGGCAAGACCCAGAGCCACTCGGTCTTGTCAGGGTTGAGTCTAAGCCTGTTCACCCCCATCCAGACCCTCACATCTTCCAGGCACCGGCACATCACGTTGACTGCTTCACTGAAAGGACACGGGTAGAGATATACAATTGGGTATCATCCGCGTACTGATGATACCTCACCCCGTGTCGTCGAATGATCTCACCCAGCGGTTTCATGTAGATGTTAAAAAGGAGGGGGGACAGGACCGAGCCCTGAGGCACCCCATGATCGAGGCGCCTAGGGTTCGATCTCTGTCCGCCCGCCAACACCGACTGCGACCTGTCAGAGAGGTAGGAGGAGAACCACCGCAATACGGTGCCACCCACCCCCACCTCTCCGAGACGACGCAGAAGGATACCATGGTCGATGGTATCGAAAGCCGCTGAGAGGTCAAGAAGCACCACGATAGAGGAATGACCCCTATCCCGGGCTCGCCAGAGGTCATCGGTCAGTGCGACCAAAGCAGTCTCAGTGCTGTAGCCGGGCCTGAAACCAGATTGAAAAGGGTCCAGATAATTAGTCACTAAATGTGATAGCCTGGTGCTACTGGCAAACCTAATATTCTTTCAATTATTTATACTCGAGATTCATTGTCAAAGATGAAACGGTTATTTCTGATCAGGGAAATACACAGAAACAGTAATCTGGAGGTGGATAAGCAGCAAATACAAGGGTAATGTAATTTCAGAAGAGCTAGGAAAAGAAGCCAGCCTTTTTACTGCAGGCAGAAGCAGCTGAAATCCTGGTGTCAGCACTTCCCCCACCATTATCTCTTTAAATGTAAACATCCATAAAGCTGTCAGTATTAGACAACAAATGACTAAATAATACATCTGATCAGCAAGTGAGCACTGCATTTCCTCTTGCATATCTGTCGCTGTTGAGTCTTGCTAGGAAAATCAATAGGCTCTGATTTTGCTTTCCAGATGCTGGTTATGATTCTCGGGTGTAATGTAAGCAAGGAGAGAGCTTTAGGAAACAAAAGAGCCACGCTTAAACGGAAAAACGAGCTAACTCACAAAATTTGCCTGGCGACAGTATCTATTATTCAAGCACCATATAATGTAGCTTAAACTAGGCAAGAACTGAATTGTAAGAAAATGGTAACACCTGGACAGGAAAAAGAAAAGCCTCAAAAGAGAAAGAAAAATCCACCCAATGATATTCTTGAAATGTTATGAGATGCTAAGTTCATGCCAATTATTTAAGTAGTATAAAAAGGTTTATATATTCTGTCTCCTCAGAGATGTGGAGCATCTGCTTAGTTCTTGAGCCAGACTCTTCCTTGGCTATGAGTATTTAAGAGGGAAAGAGAACAAATTGCTTTCCCCTTCCTGGCGCTACTTGAGAATGGGGCTGTATAAAACAGCTACCCATAAAAAAATTATGGGCAATGTACATTATCTGCAGCAATATATATTTATTTAAAAGCTCCATTGTGGACATACAGCATAAATATAAATGATATATAAATCTGAGAATCCCTAAGGTTAATTAACTTCTGCAAGTCTAGCCAGCATGATTAAAGGCAGGTGATACTGGATGTTGTAGTTCAGAGCTACAGGTTCTCATCTTATAAATAGGTAATACTATGATCAAGTGGCTGCTTTATAAGTGTCTCCCTATATGCCATGTGTTCATATGAAGACATAGTGGTCTGGCCAGGAAGAGGCACATTGTTTAGCTTTATAATTGTTCAAGTGTTAGGAGCCAGAAGTTGGTCTGCTCTAGTGAATCTTCAGCTTCCACATGAAAGATACACAAAGGATTCCCTGAAAGCTATTAATGAATTCTAATATACAAAAATGTAACTTGTACTACTGTTGTCAAAGTGAATCATCCCTTTCAAATATTTTGCCCCTAACCACCATGTTGTACAGTAAGATTTAATAAGGTTTTTGTTCATTGACTTGTCAAGATATCTAAAACTGAATCTACTATGCCCAATATATTCCATTGTACACAGAATTAATGACAAAAGGATTGTCTAAGTCAGTGGTGGCGAACCTATGGCACGCATGCCAGAGGCGGCACTTGCAGCCCTCTCTGTGGGCACACGTGCCGTTGCCCCAGCCCCACCTCCCCCACGCCCCCTCCCCAGCAGCCCCCCTGGAGGAGAGTCGCCCCCGAGCGTGGCCCACGTGGAGCAGCGCAGCCAAGGACATGGCAGCCAGGCAGCGTAGACAAGACTCTGCCCTCATGCCCAATCGCGCACTCTGCCCTCATGCCCCATCGTGCACAGTTGATGCTGCGGGGCACAGGCAGAGGGCGTGGCTGCCATGGTGCTGCTGAGCTGCCTGGGAGATCTGCGGCAGTCCCTCGAGGCAGTGAGTGGCCCTGCGGGTAGGCGGGGTGGGGGAAGGGCAGGGGGTGGAGCAGGGGCAGGGCCAGTTTTTGGACACTCTGTCTCTAAAAAGTTCGCCATCACTGATCTAAGTCATCCCAGGTATAAAGTATTTTGTTATTTTGATAAACAAGTGGCTGAAGAGATGATGTAAAATAATTAGAAGAAACATTATTAGTCTTAGCCATCTTGAGCATATAAAATGAACTCTTAGTTATATATAGTTCTGTAGATTACAGACACAAAAGCTTTGGAAAGGCGTAATAGCTATATTACACTCAGGAGGTCCAGCTTCCTACATAATGACAGAAGAGCTAATTTATTACCTCCAATGAGGAAGACTGGCTTATTCAATTTACCTTAGCAACTGCTGTTATCTGCTCCAATGCCATGGAGTGTAGATCCTGATCTCTACTTTCCAGAAGTAGCTTCAGGGAAGGAAGCAGGAGAGACTCCTTCAGGAGCAGCAAACACAGGCTTTTTATGCACTGAAAACAAATAGAAAATCTGGGTGTAATTAGTCAACTTGCACTCTGACTCAAGAAATCTTTTTATGAGGTTCAAAATGAAAACCTGAATTCTTTTAAAGTAAGCAAGCAACCAAAAACCTTTGGTGAAAATTCAGCAAGAAATGCAAACGGAATTGTGAATGAATGAAGTGAATGGAGCAAAAGACTGCCTTGTTCAACTGGCTTAAAAATTCCTTTTATGAGAACTGCATAGAAAATAATTAAAGTACAGGTAGTCCTCAACTAAACAACAGTTCCTTTAGTGACCATTCAAAGTTACAACAGCACTGGAAAAGTGACTTATGACCATTTTTCGCACTTACGACCTTTATAGCATTCTCATGATCATGTGATCAAAATTCATATGATTGGCAACTGACTCATACTTATGACTGTTGCTGTGTCCCAAGGTCATGTGATCAACTTTTGCGACCTTTTGACAAGCAAAATCAATGGGGAAGCCAGATTCACTTAACAACCGTGTTGCTAACTTATCAACTGCAGTGATTTACTTAACAACTGTGGCAAGAAAGGACGTAATATGGGGCAAAACTCACTTAACAAATGTCTCACTTAACAACAAATGTTGGGCTCAACTGTGGCTGTAAGTTGAGGACTAACTGTATAAACATTTTGAAGAGATGCCTTCTTGTCCCAGAAGAAGGCCATTAGTTGTCACTTATGGCCACTGCTGGTAAAAGGAGTGGAAAGAATTTCAAGAATCAAGCTCTGCATTGTGTCCCTACCTTATTTTACCCCTAAACATTCACTGAACAATTAATGTTTAAAAAGTCCATGGAAATGAAGCTGCATGCAAATTGTAGCCATTCATCCATCTCTCACACACACAGATACATACAAAATCTGGGGTACAACTGTGATTTTGCATACCAAAGGATTTTCAACAATACAAAACAGACTTTCATTCCAGAACAATTTTGTCTATTCATTTTAGCAAAACTTTTTTTTAAAATAGCAAGATCCAGTTCCAGCTGCAGTCACTTAGCATAATGCTGTGTTTAAATATCTTTGTAGTTTCATGTTGTGCTTCTTATCCTATTAGATACAAAGATATGATTGCCATGAATTGATTATTTGTCAGGAACATTCCCTAAAATCACAATCTCTGGAAAATGATCGTATTGAACAGAAAATATTTGAAAAATTAGTTCAGCTTTAGTACAGAACAAGCACAAAAGGAATCCATGCATCCATAACTGGAGTGTGACTGTAGCATAATTGATAAATTTTAGTTTATTTATTTAAGAAATTTATAAGCTGCCTATCTCACTATCCAAAGCAACTTTAGGGCGCTTATAAAAAATCCAACAAAAATATCTTTCTACTGGTTGATTTGGCAGACTTCCAAATGGAGACCGGGCACTATAAAATGGAATTAGTTTTTCATTCAAACTCAAATCAGCATATATGCTAATTAGTCTATATAACTGTTAATAGGATAACAGCTCGCTCTATGAAGCATTCTTCCACCGTTAAGAACAAGCTGGCTCAACTGTGTATGCATATGTATGGCTTGGTGGTTAAATCACAACCTAGTATGTAAACTGCCCAGGTTCAAATCCCATAAAGGGTGTGGCTAACTGAAGAGAGCAGAATGAGCTCGAAATGGCCATCTTAGTCTCCCAATTTAATTCTTTAATTCTTTGTCAGAAAAAGAAATTTGGATTTGTAATGTTTCACAGTTGCGACTTGAGCCTGCTTAATGCCCCTAGTTGGGAGCTGCAAGGCAAAAGAGATTGTAAAAAGTAAAACTGCAGTATAGCAGTTAAAAAATATCAAGGTGTAATCAATTAGACATCTGTCTGAAAAACTTCCTGTATATATATATATATATATATATATATATATATATATATATATATATATATATATATATATATATATATATATATATAATAAGCTGCCACTGTGTTAAGACACTTATTTGAATTAATTAGTTGTACAGATGATGTACCTTAGAGATTGGCTAGTGCAGTTCTGTATATCTTTATCTTTTCTTTCCCGCTCCTAGTCTCTAGGAATAAAAATGTCATTCTGATTTCTTCAGAAAGAAGTTTTATAGTTCTAGCCTAACCTCTTATCATTCAGCTTCTTCACTTAAGGTTTTGATGGGTTTGCAGATATAAAATGCTACTGGCACTATAAAACTGCTGCTTCACCCAACTGTTAAACCTAAGAGCCATCAACTTTTCTTTTTTTGCAAGCCTTGTACACATGGCAATAAATAGTGCTTTCCAGATGCATGAAAAATGTGCAGAAATATATGATCGGTATTTCATATTGTGCTCTACAAGCCTTTTGTTATATTGTTTACCAGAAATAAGCCTCTAAAATTGCAAGAGATGATGAAAAGTTCAATATTTCTAATTTTACTACCTCATCTACAAGGCATTTAATTTATTGGTTTTTTTTTCTTGTGCAATCACTCAAACAACAGCATAAATCAGTTTAAATAGTTAATACAATCACACCTAACCACAGCCAACTGTGACTATTTTGTGTGCTGTATGAATATTGAACAGCTGTTATTTCTGGTTAGCAGTAGCTGAAATTCAAGACTAATCTTTAACAACCAATGTGGGATAATGCTTAAGATGTTAGATCAGGATCAGGAGAGAGTCAGATCCAAGTCCATCCTCAGCCAAAAAGCTCACTAATCATTCACTTTCAATCCAACAAAACTGCACACGGTTGAAGTTTTAGGAGAAAAATGGAGAAGGGACTACTACATTCTCTACTTTGAGTTCCTGCAGGAAATATGGGGTAATAATAACAATGTGTCAACTACACCAACCACATCTCTTATTGGGGGACAAAGCTTTACTGCAATGTTTCCTTACAGATCACATTTGTATATATTTATTATATTGGTAAACCTCCAAAATCTTAAGACAGCAACCTACAATAATAATTTAAAAACCAAAATACAGTTAAAAACCATAAATTAAATAACAACATAGCAATAAGCTGGTGAAATAAATAGGCAATATACAATTATAAGAAAACCACTAATGCTAATCTCAAAATAAGTGATCTTAGCTTTCAAAGGTCCTGCAGGAGCCTTTACAGCTTTTCAAAAATGCCGGGATTGCTCTTTTTTAAAATTATTACTATATATAGTTTTAGTTTGAGTATATAGCCCTGAATCACATGTTGATAGGGTATCTAGATAGATTGATTTAATACATTAAAAACAAACAAATTTCCCTAAAAAAGAAAGGTTAAATATAGAAGAATAATTATCTAGTGTAGCTAGAAGGTATCTTTTTAAAGGCATCCAGGACAACACTCTCCTCTAAAGTGTCATTTACTTCTTAGATCCAGCTACTCATAGCCGCCGCTCAAAGTGCCAGGAAAGGCATGTATCTAACTCCAATGCAATGGAGCCACAGCTCATGATCAGCTCCTCCTGCTCACCCTTGGGTGTTTTTAAATAGGGTGAAGTATGAACATTTTGCTGCCCATATTTGCCATGCTGTCATAGTCCCATGAACGCTTCCATCTAGGACAGAGGTAGGCAACCTTGGCTCTTTTATGACTTGTGGACTTCCAACTCCCAGAATTCCTGAGCCAGCATGACTCAGCTTGGAAACCTCTCCCTTTCCCCTCAGCATGGCTGGCTCAGGAATTCTGGGAGTTGAAGTCCACGAGTCATAAAAGAGCCAAGGTTGCCTACCCCTGGCCTAGGACATGTTCTTCATATTAAAAAGTCCCAGAAGCAATTCCTGACTTACCAAGTTTTAAAAAGACTCAGGTAGGGGACTATAATGCAATTAAAATAAAGATCTTGGTCTAAAGCAATTATAATATATAAACAATATAAGGTAGGCATCTGATCCTTTGAAACTATATTTCACTTACTGAATAGTTTTGTTTTTATTGCATTAACTTGCTTTATTTTGGAGCAATTTATTTGGTTATACTTTTTTAATATTGGCACGTTATCTGTAAAGATAAAAATCATTAAACTTTCCCCCTCAATAAATAAATAAGTCAATCCTAAATACGTTTACTTTGCAACCTTTTCTCCCGGTACATTTCTGAGATATGTTTTCAGTTTCTCCTGCATGGAATCTGACCAGTCCAATCTCTAAAACATGTTCACAGTATTTCAGGGCCCTGTAACAATGAAAATTTTTATGGATGTGGTTGGGACAAAAGTGAACTTACAAAAAGAAGCACAGAAGAGTTTGAAGCTAGCAGTTTGTGATGAGGTGTTTGTATTGCCACATCTGGAGGAAAAGAGACTTCAAGCAATTTAGAAGTTTTAATATTTTAGCAAACTTTCCCCCAAAAATACTGAATCAATAAAAGCTTACGTGACAAACTCTGTAAATCAAACAAGTACTGGGTGTTGGTTAGCACTCTTGAATACCCTGATCCACCAACAGAGATGAAACAGAATTTCATTAGGAAGGATCCTGGCAGGAGCTTTGGTTGAACTAGTGACATGGAAATGAATGGACAGCTGGGACCCATCTGTTGTCAGTAGTGACAAACTAATAAAAAATGCAACTGTTTCAGGACTTCAGACTCTGTGAGATTTACATGAGAGCTAAATCTAGTGCAAATGGGTTGACGAACAAAAGGAATATCACTGCACCTGTAACAAAGGAGTTACTAATTGTTGCTAAACTATTTCAAAGCTTCTTTACTATTATCATTCTATGTTTAATGAATAAATTACATATATTAACAAGTTTACTGTCCATATAAACTTGGTCATGTCTAACAAGGACTCTAGTCATGTAAACTTACCTCTGCAGAGAGCCTGTGCTTTGTCTCGTATAAAGAGCGGCAGATCTTCAGAATCTCATCTCCCACACTCTTCTTTTGCTCCTGTAGGCACTTCATAAGCATCACTGTTCCCAGTTTAACCCAAAGATTATTACTTGAACGTGTTCTAAAATAAAGGTAAATAAATTTTCTTATGAGGATTAAAAGCAATTTGGTCTCAATTGTGCATATCTACCCACATGTACTTTTAAAAAGTAATTTTGGACAACATATATTGAATGCAAATAGTTTGTATAACTTTTACAATAAACTCAAGTGAACTGCTTTTCAAATCCATATAGTACAGACATGTCAAACTCTCGATGTCACGTGACGTTGCACAACATATCGGGACAGTTTTGCCATTGCTGGCAATGGGGTGGGCGCAACTTCCGGATGACGGGTCCGGTCCGTGGACCGGCAGTTTGACACCCCTGATATAGTACATGATTTTTTAGAAACAAATATGAAAAAAAAATTAACAGGACAAATTATTTTAATGAAAAAAAAAACTGTAGCCAAGAGAGAACTTTATTAGGAGGAGCTGCTTGGTAGACAGGATAAGCAAATAAGTCGTGAAGGTTGACATGTGTTTTCTGTAATATCAAATAAAACATGATAATAGAATAAAAACTGAGGTCAGAGGCAAATAAGATAAAATATTTGTAATCATTTAAAAGTTAGTAATAAGAGAGGCACAGTGGCTCCATGGCTTAATGATGCTGGAGATGGTCTTGCTTCCAGCGGTTCAAGCCCAAGCACTGCGTAGCAGGGTGAGCTCCTGTCACTCGCCTCAGCTTCTGTCCACCCAACAGTTTGAAAGCATGTTCTATGTAAGTATATAGATAGGTACCACTTTGGTGGAGAGACAAGCTGGTGCTCTGTGCAGGCAGTTAGGTTCGTGATGGCTGTGAACTTTCCTGGTTGCAACGCCCACTTGTGAGGCAGCTCTGGGAAGGGAGGGAGTCTTGGGTGACACTGCTAGGGGAAGAGCTGCTCCTCTTTCTCTCTGGTGTGATGCCAGCTCACCCTCCTGTGGCGCAACATGGGAAGTGCACAAGTGTATCCTATAATAGGGCTAGTACCTTGGCAAGCCAAACAACTACTCTGGAATTGCATTGTGGTCTCCCGGCTACTGTAACAACGCCATATGCTGGTAATTAATAATAATAATAATAATAATAATAATAATAATAATAATAATAATAATAATAATAACCGCCAGTGAGGCACTACCTTGACGTGGTTGTGGGGCTTGTGTACTCTGAGGAAGATGAGAGCTATGCCAGAGGTTCAACCATACTGGACAGGTCTCATCAGAGGAGTCAGACAAAGAGTGTCTCTCCCATAAAAAATATGGTGAGACGTAAATTTCAGAATGCCATACCGGCTCGGACGTCGCCCAGGTTAACAAGGTCCGCACTAGATATTGGAGTTCCTGGATATCTGGTGAAAAATGGGTTACAGGACTCAGGACTGTTGGCTGAGCAACCAGGGCCAGCAGCTGCAGAACTACTGGAAGAAAAGATGTTTACCCGTCGTAGATACACAGTGATTGAAAACAAAGAAATAATGATCTGTTACTACAGATCAAGTCCAACAAGAAGAGGATATCTAAAACGAATGCACCAGTTCTAGAAAGAACAACATCCAGAATCAGAAATAACAGAACAGAGACTAGCAGATCAACGCCGATTTATAACACGAAATAAAGTATTCACAGAAACAGAATTGGACGAACTGCAAAGGTTTACCCAGGGCAAAGAAATCAAAGCCTTACCAGAAGTAATTCAGAATGTAGAGGCAAACCAGGGGGAGTTGGCAGTGAAGGAATCCAATAGAGATATACAACTGTTCTCATTTGGAAACCAGGCACCTCTACCTCAGGAAGAACAAAACCCTCTAACTAAAGAAATAAAAGAATTGAAACAAAGAATAACTGAGCATCTAGAACAGCACAAAAACAACAGAATAAGGCTACCTGCATTGAAGCTTGTTCCAAAGAAACAGCTAGCACAAGCATTAAAAGATGCAAATACTGCAATATCAAGTATAAGCACCAATTCACTGCAAGAAACAAACCAACTAATGTACAGCACAGCTGCAGTTATAACAGAATACCTGGGATGCAAAATCAACAAAGAAGAAAAACAAACAAACAGTGCACCAGAAAAATGGAAGGTTAGACTAGAAAATAAGATCAGCAAGTTAAGATCACATGCAAGCAAGCTAGAACAGATGAAAGAAAAGAAGCTGAAGAACAAGAAGACCAAAGAATACCTAATCAAGAAATACCACTTAGAAACAAGGAAGATCAAGGAAGCACTGGAAATAATAAAGCAACAAATAACAGCTATAGCCAGGAAAATCAGTAGATATGAAGCTCGAATTGCAAACTATAGGCAGAACCTCCAATTTCAATCCAATCAGAAACGTTTCTACCAATCCATCAATGGAGAAACTGCAAGGAATCAGTCAGTACCTGACAAGGAAGAAACAGTGCAGTTCTGGAAGCAGATATGGGATAACCCAAAGAAATACAACAAGGATGCGGTTTGGTTAAAAGAGGTGGATGCAAATAAAACAGAAGTTGAAATGAAAGAACTAGTAATAACAACAAAAATGGTAGAAAAAAGAGCAAAGAAAATCAAAAATTGGTCAGCACCAGGTGAAGATGAACTGCATGGGTTTTGGTTGAAACATCTAACTGTTATACACCCACTCATTGCCAAACAGTTCAACAATATACTACAAGGAGGAGAAATTGAAAAGTGGCTAACAACTGGGAAAACCTACCTAATAATGAAAAATCCAGCAAAAGGGGCAACACCAGGTAACTACAGGCCAATTACCTGCTTACCAACAACTTTCAAATTACTAACTGGTGTAGTAGCTGATGCAGTGCAACAGCATCTAGTTGAAAACAATCTCTTTCCACCTGAGCAGAAAGGAAACGCCCCAATAGCAGAGGAACAAAAGATCAACTCCTAATAGACAAAATGATCTTGGAAAACTGCAAGAGAAGGAAGACCAACCTGAATGTGGCATGGATTGACTACAAAAAGGCATTTGACTCTCTGCCACATGATTGGATAATAAAGTGCCTAGAAATAACAGGAGTCAGTAGAAACATCAGAAAATTTGTGCAAAGATCGATGGCACAATGGAAGACACAGTTGCAGATCAATGGTGAGAGGCTGGGAGAGGTTAATATCAAGAGAGGAATATTTCAAGGAGATTCATTATCACCATTACTATTTGTTATTGCACTGTTTCCTCTGTCAACAATACTGAATAACTCAGGACATGGCTATCAAACATCAAAAACATCTGCCAGACTATCCCACCTCCTTTACATGGATGATCTGAAGCTGTATGGAAAAACATCATCTGAAATAGAATCGCTGCTCAACACTGTCCGTATATATAGCCAAGATATTGTAATGGAGTTTGGCTTGGACAAATGTGCCACACTTACTATCAAACAAGGAAAAATAGTGAAAACTGAAGGAATCAAGATGCCCCACGAAAATAACATTAAGAGTCTGGATGAGGAAGAGTACTACAAATACTTGGGTATCCTTCAAGCTGACAACATCAAGCACACTGAAGTCAAGAAAAAGATTAGAGGTGAATACATCAAGAGAGTGAAGAAGATCTTAAAATCCAAACTCAATGGAGGAAATACCATAAAGGCAATCAACACCTGGGCAATCCCAGTCATTAGGTACACAGCTGGAATAGTGGACTGGACTCAAGCAGAACTAAAAGCAATGGATAGGCAGACCAGAAAAATAATGACAATGAATCATGCCCTTCATCCACGCAGTGACATTGATAGACTTTATCTACCAAGGCAAATAGGTGGGCGTGGAATGCTACAAGTACATCAGATGGTTGAAGAAGAAAAAATGGCTTTGGAAGAATATCTGAAGAACAATGATGAAGATGCACTGAAATTAGTATATCAGGAAGGCTTACTAACTACTGGAGAGACCAAACTGGCCTACAAGAAAGACCAAATGAAGAACAGAATAGAGGCATGGGAAGACAAAGCACTACATGGCCAATACATGAAAAAAATAGCTGGGAAAGCAGATAATAATAAAACCTGGCAATGGCTAAGAGCAGGAAAATTGAAGAAAGAGACCGAGGGACTAATTCTGGCTGCACAAGACCAAGCCTTAAGGACAAATGCATACAAAGTCAAAATTGAGAAGACAGCAACAGACAGTAAGTGCCGCCTATGCAAAGAAGCTGAAGAAACAGTGGACCACTTGGTAAGCTGTTGCAAGAAGATTGCACAGACTGATTACAAGCAGCGGCATGACAAAGTAGCAACAATGGTGCATTGGAAGATCTGCAAAAAATATCATTTGCCTGTAAGCAAAAACTGGTGGGATCATAAAATAGAGAAAGTCATAGAAAATGATAAAATTAAACTGCTCTGGGACTTCAGAATTCAAACAGACAAGCACCTGCAACATAACACCCCAGACTTAACAATTGTCGATAAGAAAGACAAAAAAGTCTGGATAGTGGACGTGGCAGTGCCTGGAGACAGCAGAATAGACGAGAAAGAACTGGAGAAGATAACAAAATACAAAGACCTACAAATAGAAATAGAAAGACTGTGGCAAAAGCAAGCAAGGGTAGTACCAATAGTCATAGGCTCCTTGGGTGCAATCCCAAAACAACTGGAGCACCACTTGAACACCATTGGCATTGACAAATTCGCTATTAGTCAATTGCAAAAGGCGGCCTTACTAGGAACTGCTTCCATCCTGCGACGATATCTGTAATACCATCAAACATCCACATCTGCCTATCCCAGGTCCTGGGTAAGGACTCGATAGGTAGACAAAATGCCAAATCCAGTCTGAACATCTGGCTGACTGTGCGATGATCGATAATAATAATAATAATAATAATAATAATAATAATAATAATAATAATAATAATAATAAAAAAAAATGCCAAATCCAGTCTGAACATCTGGCTGACTGTGCGATGATCGATAATAATAATAATAACTGGAGCACCACTTGAACACCATTGGCATTGACAAATTCGCTATTAGTCAATTGCAAAAGGCGGCCTTACTAGGAACTGCTTCCATCCTACGATGAGATCTGTAATACCATCAAACATTCACATCTGCCTATCCCAGGTCCTGGGTAAGGACTCGATAG